GGTAGAGGTAGTGATGAAGGTAGAAGGTGAACAGCCTACTACCTCCACCCTTACTACTCCTTGGACTGCTACTCAACGAAGGAAGAAGGAGATTCAGGAAAGATTGCAGTAGGAACAGACCCTGCTTGACGAGTTGGAGAGACAGGAGGCAGCCGAGCTAGAGGCAACAACAGATGCTTCGCGAAAGGAGTATCTGTTGGAGCAGCTAGGCAAGGCTGTGTCTGATGAGCGTTGTGCACAGGTGACAAGGAACCTGGCGGAATGGGCCATTCTGGAACACAAAACCACCAGTTCCTATTTCACTAACTGGGATGACCGTATAGGTCGTCTGAAGCACAAGGTGGATGACCTGGCAGCTCAGCAGTCCAAGATCATGACAGCAATCCAGGATCTGACTGCTCAGCTGATAGCAGCCAAACTGATTGCTCCCCTGTCTCCTGTCCTCTCAGCGAAACCTAAACCTTCCTCCTCTCCCTCTTCAACCCCCGGATCACGTCATTCTTCCCCTTCACCACCTCCTTCCCAAAAAGCCACAGTCAAGCCATCTTATGCATCTGTTGTTGCAGGAGACCAGAGAGGTCCCAAGATCCCAGCTCCCAACAAGTTCAGAGGGGATGACCCAAAGACTGATGTTGGGGACTGGGCTGCTGGGACCAGAGCCTACTTGAGGGGCTTTGTCTGTGCAGAGACTAAGGTGGCCACGATTCTGGGACTGCTGGAGGGACCCGCCTTGAAGTGGGCCACCTCAACCTCCAGTAGTCAGCAGCAGTCTATGGAGGACTGGCTTTTGGGCTGGGGGTGGACAGACTTCTGCAGGCCCTAGAGGACCGCTTTGCAGACAAGGAGCGGGCCCGCAAAGCTGCTGACAAGATTGCTCGCTTGGGGCAGCAGCGCTACAGCGGTACCCTGCAATCCTTGTTTGCAGATTTTGAGCAGCTTACCTCTAACCCTGGGTTGGTCATGTCTGCTGATGATCTGCTGACCAACTTCTGCAGGGCTGCGCCTGAGAAGTTTGTTGTGGCTTTGTATAGTGCGGCACAAGGACTGGAGATCCTTTGGCCGCGCAGCCCTGGACATGGAGGCCAAACTTCATGTTCAGGCCCCCTCCTCTGACAGGAGGAAAGGTGGCTTCCCTCGTGGTGGTAGAAAGGGAAAGGCAGCCTTCACACATGCAGGATCTGCATCAACTTCTGATTCGGATTCCCAGGCTGATACACCGTCAGCTGGGACCGGACCAGCTGCTGAAACAGATGTTGCAGCGGCCCTGACTCAGGCTGTTTTGGGAGTTCTGCAACAACAGAAGTTCTCTCCCACCACAGCCTCAGCCAGTGCAAAGGGGAAGGACAGGGGACGTCGGCCTTCCTCCTCCCAACGCCCTAACCTGCCCAAAAATGTCCATATGCCAGCTGACCCGCTCAATCCCTCCACTCTCCCCTGGCATGACCTCAAGATCCAGGAGCGAGTGTGGAGAAGAAAAAAGGAACGAGGGGTCTGCCTGAGGTGTGAGGGACAACATTTTCTAAAGGACTGCCCTTACATGCCAGGCCCAGGACAGTAAAAAAAATGAAACAGACCCTGGGGACTGCAGTTCCCCCCAGTGTTGCACCTTCATCTGCTCAGGTAGGTGAACCTGCAGCTGTTTCGGTTGAGACCGATTGTGTGAGTTTGGGGACTGCACGGGCAACATCCTTCTGTTATGAGGATCCTGACCTGGATCAGGACCCGAGGCAGGATGAGCTTCAGTCACTTGCTGCTTTCTTCTTCCACCTGAAGGAACAGAAGAAGCACAAGTCTGATCTCATGCTACTTCGGCCCCTGATCAACCACATCAGGATCAAAGGGCTGTTGGATTGTGGACCACCAGGAACTTCATATCTCCCAGTGCTGTTAAGAAGCTGGACCTGGGGATGAAAGTTCAGCAGTTGCAGCAACCTTTGCTGGTCAGAATAGGTGACTCCACAATGCTCACCATCAGGGAGAAGGTCCGGGGTATCCCCGTTACCTTCGACATCGCTGGAGAAGTCAGACATAGTCTGAACTTCTACATATTCCCTGACCTACCCTTTGACCTGGTGTTCTCTATGCAGTGGTTGAAGGCAGTCAGCCCAAGGATCGACTGGCAGATCCCAAAGGTTGAACTACCTAATAGACAGGGGGTGTATCAGCCATGCATGATTGTTGCTGATCATCACCCTAAGACTTCTTGCTACTTCACGAGAGCGAGGGAGTTTTATTCTCTCTCGCCCCAGTACGACCATGAGCGTCTGTTTATAGCTCTGGTCAAGCAAACAGACGCTCCCACTGTTTCCTGTCCTCCTAAGATACAACAGGTTGTGGATCAGTATGCTGATCTGATGCAGGAGCCCTTTGGACTACCCAACCGGCGAACCAAGCATCGCATCGAGCTGCTACCTAGAGCAGTCCCTCCTAAGGGACGAGTCTACAGGATGTCCCCTGCTGAGCTCGAGGAGCTCTGAAAGCATTTTGAGACCCTTACCAGCAAGGGTTGGATTAGGCCCAACATTTCTGAATTTGGTGCACCAGTTCTCTTTGTGCCCAAAGGGAATGGCGAGTTCAGAATGTGTATTGATTATAGGGGTCTCAATAAGATCACTAGGAAGAGTACAGAGCCACTTCCTAGGATGGATGACCTTCTGGATATGGTGCAAGGCTGCACACTGTTCAACAAAGTCGACCTCAAATCTGGGTACCACCAGATTGAGATGGCAGAGGACGATGTCTACAAGACAGCCTTCAAGACCAGGTATGGTACTTACGAGTTCCTGGTCATGCCATTTGGACTTTGCAACGCCCCAGGTACCTTCCAGACAGAGATGCACCGCATCTTCAGGCCTTACCTGGACAAGTTCATGGCTGTCTACCTGGATGACATCCTGGTATTCGGCAGAACTGCCAGGGAACATGCGGAGCACTTGGCCCTAGTCCTTCAGTCATTACGCGACAGCCAATATAAGATCAACAGAGAGAAGTCCTCCTTTGGAGTTCCCTCTGTCATCTATCTGGGTCACGTAATCTCTGGAGAAGGCCTGGCTCCTGAAGCAGCCAAGATTGCTGCTATACAGGAGTGGCCACAGCCACAGACAGTGAGGGATGTCAGGTCCTTCATGGGTTTAGCCTCGTACTAGAGAAAGTTTGTCAAGAACTTTTCTGCAGTGGCTGCACCCCTGACCAACCTAAAAAAGAAAGACACTCCTTTTCTTTGGTCCCTTCCCTGTCAGTTGGCCTTCACACGACTCAAGAAGGCCTTGACTCGTGCACCAGTGTTGAAGTTGCCTGACCCCACTCTGCCATTTATCCTGACCACTGACGCTAAGTCAGTATGGCATCGGGGCAGTTCTTCAGCAGGATGATGGGAATGGTCTACGGACTGTAGACTTCATGAGTAAGAAGATCAAAACTCAAGAGCTCCAGGAATCCACCTACGAGAAAGAGCTATATGCTCTTGTCTGTGCCCTGGAACATTTGAACCACTTTCTCATGGGAAGATACTTCAAGATCTTCTCAGATCACTCCACCTTACAGTGGATGAAGTCCCAGGGAGAGTTGAATGATAAGTTGGCACGGTACATTCAGTTCATAGACATGTTTGACTTTGAACTGAAACATAAGAAGGGTTGTTACAACAAGGTAGCAGACGCCCTCTCTCCTAGGCCTGACTTTTTTGCATTGATCTCCTCTACTCACTCCTTTGAAGAGGAGACTCGTCAGACCATTGCTCATCTACTGCCTCAGGACCCGACTTTTGGACCCATAGTCAGGAATTTGCAAGCAGATCGTAACTCTGAACCAGGCTATGCGCCGAGTTCAGATCTGTTGTACACTTACAGCAGAGGGGAGGAGCGTTTGTGCATTCCCCAGGACCAGCGGCTCAGGACACTGCTGATGTCAGAGTGTCATGACGCCCGTGGACATTTTGGGTTCCTAAAGTCATATGCAGCCCTGTCGCAACGCTTTTTCTGGAAGGAGATGCAGAGTGATATGCTGCGCTATGTGGAAACCTGTGAGCTCTGCCAAAGGAATAAGGTCCAGCATAGGTCTCCTTTGGGACTGCTCAAACCCTTACACATACCTGATGGCCCTGCTGAATCTGTGTCGATAGACTTCACATATTTAGGCAAGACCACCCCTCGTGGCATGCGTCAGGTTATGGTCTGCGTGGACAGGTTCTCCAAATACGCAAGGTTCATCCCCTTGCCAGAAGTGGCCAGAGTTCCGGCTGTGAGAGCAGCCTTTTCAGAGAGGTGGGTCACACACCATGGACCGCCCACTTCTATAGCCAGTGACAGAGACCCCCGGTTTTGCAGCGATGAGTGACAGTCCTACTGTAAGGACTATCTGCACTCACGATTGGACATGACTTCTGGTCATCATCCTGAAGCCAATGGTCAGTCTGAAGTGATGAACCAAGTCTTATTCCAATTGTTGCGTCCTGTCATCTCTCCAGATCAGCAGGACTAGGATCTCCACTTGGCTCGAGCACAGCTTGTGTATAACATGTCTGTCCATTCCTCGACTGGGTTCAGGCCATACCGGTTACGCTGGGGACGTGAACCACGACAGCCTCTCGATGATATCATCGATAAGGCTAAGTCAGATCTGACTCCAGGCACCGCAGAGTTCACCAGACGCTACCGCATAGATGTGGAAAGAGCACGGGCGAACATGTTCAAGGCCCAGAAGGCCATGATTGAACAAGCTAACCGCCACAGGCGGCCTTCCCCCATCCGCACTGGTGATTATGTCTGGGTGGCCAGTTCTGAGTTGTCGAGGGAGGAGGATATCTCCCAAAAGCTGCTGCCTCGATATATGGGTCCATGGCAGGTCTTAGACACAGTAGGGACTGATCCATTTGGCCCGTCCTATGTCATTGACGTCCTGCTGCATCTACAGAAGACTTCGCCACGCTATATGCGCAGCTATCTTCGAATCACCCGCCGGCCAGCCACTATCGCATCGCCGATGGGTATTTGCTCCTGCACTCGCGGGGCAAGGACTTACTGTGTATCCCACGCGACCGCCGTCTTCGGACTCGCCTCCTCGGCGAGTATCATGATTCACGACTCGCCGGCCATTTCGGAGTCAACCGCACTATTGCACGGCTTCGACAACGATTCCGATGGCCCGACCTCATCACCGACGTGACGAGGTATTGCGACTCTTGCGAAGTTTGCCGACGGAGCAAACCCCGCAACCGCACTCCCTACGGCGAGCTGCGCCCGATGGCGATCCCGCAAGAACCCAGTCTCTCCATTGCCGTGGATGTCACCAGACCATTCCCCCGCGACCGCCTCGGACACGACGGCATCCTCACGGTCGTGGACCGATTGAGTAAGTACGCGCGTTTTCTCCCTTGCAAGTACTACTCCTTGGCTCCCGAGCTGGCACGCCTCTTGCACACCGGTTGGATTTGTGGCCACGGTGTACCAGAAGACATAGTCAGCGACTGCGACACTCGCTTCATGTCGACATTTTGGACTGCTCTCATGCAGGAGTCCGGCACAAAGATGAAACCAAGTTCGGCTCGGCATCCACAGACGGACGGGCAAACGGAGCGGGCACATCAAACCGCTCAAATGATGCTTCGTACGCTCATCCGTCCGGACGAGAAAGATTGGGTTGACCGCCTCCCCGACATCGAGTTCGCCTACAACACTTTGGTGCAGCCGACGATCGGCGTGACTCCATTCGAGTTGCACCACGGTGGACGGAAAGGCCGTATCTTCGCCGACCTTCTCCTCCCACGACCAGCCGACATCGATGCCGCTTGCTCTCCCGCTTCCGTTCGGAAGTACAGGGAATTGCTGGCTCAAGCCCGCGTGAATATGCAAAAGGCTCAAGTCCGCATGCAGCAGCAAGCCAACAGGCATCGCGTGCCTTGTCCCATCCGCGCCGACGACCTGGTTTGGGTTTCCGCGAAAGAGTTTGCACTGGAACAGGATGTCTCACGCAAACTGCTTCCCAAGTGGTTTGGACCATGGCCCGTAACATCAGCCGCGGACGATGAACCCGATGGCCCTTCATTTGTGATCAACATCCCCCCGCATCTGACGGTCCATCCAGTCTTTCACACCTCAAAGCTGGCAACATACACACCAGCTAAGAGCGACGACTTTCCGGGCCGACGATCGCAGGACCCTCCTTCTATGGATGGTCATCAGGAAGTTGACCGCGTCATCACCGATCGCAAGTACGGCAGCAAGCCGCGACAGTACAAAGTTACATTCAAAGCATGCGATCGCGACGACACTCGGTGGATTTCAGGAGCAGATTTGAAAGCATCCGCACCGCTGATCTACGCGCATTATGAAAAGCAAAGGTTAGCTCAGGAAGCTTCACGACCAGCCCCTCCCACCCGGACTGTGGTCCCTCCCTCAGACAAACAGCTTCTCCCTCGCAGGTAAGCTCGGTCTTTCAAGGAGGGGGGGGTGTGGCATACTACGTAGCCACACGGGCCTGCAGGGCCCGTCCCGCACTTTCAGCCTCAAAGCCTAGAAAATAGGGCTTACAGGCCCCGGTCGTTTCAGCCTGAAGCTGAAAAACGAGGGCCTGCAGGCCCTATTCCGTTTTCAGCCTATTTCTGGGCCTGAGGCTTTTCGGCCTGAAACGGAGGGCCATTTTCAGGCCCTCATCGTGTTCGACCTACCCTAAGACTCAGGCACAAAAACAGGGTTTTGGAACAGGCTATTTCTAGCCTGTTCCCCACGACAGCTCAAGCAGGAGCTGCAGCGGCAGCCCCTGCCTCCCTTCGGCATTGGCAAGAGCAGCCTCCTGGACTGCCTCGCCTGCAGTCAGGAGGCACCCGAGTAGTACATAGGAAGTTCCCATGCACTTCACGGGTAGGTAGTTGGACGGTAGGACAAGTAGTCTTCAGGATTCGGCCGCAGCACTCAAGAGGAGCGCTGCCAGGAGTAGCTTAGCGCTAGCAGTAGTCTTCAGCGCTGGGCGCTAGTAGCCATAGCAGTAGTCTTCAGCGCTGGGCGCTAGTAGGTGGTAGTAGTAGAGATGGGAGAGAGGACTGGCGGAGGCCAGTGAGACTTACCTGTGGCGCCATCGCTCCAGCTCCATCTTCGAGGTACCTGCATCAAGGCGCCA